GTAGGACAAATCAATAAAACGAAAAATGCAAATTTATCCCAAACATTAAACACTAAAAACTTTTTTTCTTTCTTTATAATTATCATTTTGGTAAAGGAAATTAGAAAATGAAAGCCCAAAAATTTCAACTATCATTAAAACGAGAAATAAAAAACACGAATAATCATTGGAATGTCGTAATTAGAAAAAAAAAAACCCTACAGGATGATGCGCCCTACCAAAAACAACTTTTAATTGCTGGTGTAGAGAGGAGGCCAAAAAGAAAGAAAACAGGGTAGCAATTAGAGAGAGCCTAATGATCTCAAAAGTGTTTTGTACTGGGAGTGTAAATTAACTGTGTTAAACCGAACTGGGAGGGTTTTTCCCTTTAAGGAGGGACAATAATTATTTTCAGTTGGTTTTTCGCCACGTTCTTTTTATTTTAGAATATTTTCAAACGGGACGAGTTTAATTATGGAGACTAAAATTTTAAGAATTCGGAAATGCGTAATCTTTGGGAAAGCAACAAATTTATAAATTTATCCATTTTCGGGTGGGTGGCGCAAATTTTTTTTTTTTTTTTTAAATATAGAAAACTGATTTAGTTTGGAGAAAATAATCGTAAAAATGCTAATACTTGTTCAACTTTTTTTTTAAATGTAAGAGAATGAATATTTATAAGATAGTCAGTGTTCTAGCAGAAGACGGTATAAAAACTGTTGCATCTATAATCAACTGCAATTTTTTTTTTCTTTTTCGAAACAGAAAATGATTAAGAAAAGAAAAATATTTTTATTGGAAGAAGAAATTCGTCTCATTTTTTAAAATATAGTGGGGAGGGGGAAATTAAATCTAATAATCTGCCTAACAATTTTGCGGGGAAAAAAAACCTGTCTATCGATTTTCTGAGAAATTTATTCATACTTTTCTGAATCTAAAATAACCAAGAATTTCAGCCAGAGATCCAGTTTTTGTCAATGTTTGAAAATAAGGTCCCGTTCTTATGAAAAAAATACTATAATAATATTTCTCAAGAAATAGTAAAATTAAAAGAATGAATAAATGACGTCATAGATTCTGTTTTTACAATAAAATATTTTTAGAGAGTCTGTCAATGGTGACGAAATTGCTTTGTAATAGACCCCTTTTGTCAAAATTTAAATTTAATAATATTAAGCATTAATATTAAAAGAAATAGATATTGAAACAAAGGAAAGTATAATTTAATGTTCGATCCTCACTTTCATAAATATTATTTTTCTACCTTTTGTATTGTTTACCTTTTACAACATAATATTATAACAAGTATTAAAAGGTTTTTAACGCTTTCAAATTTTGTTACCATGACCATTTGAATGAGTAAGAATCCTACTTAATTTCAGAAATATATTCTTCGCGACAACAACGGAGAAATCGCAATATCATTACAGACCCTATTTCATCGATACATTATTATATATTTTTATTTGATTCAAGAATTCGAATTGAAAAACAAACTATCATTAACCGAAGAGATCGTGTGAAAATTCTACAGAAATGTTGAAATTTTACAAAATAGATTTGTAACACGTGTGAGAAGTATTTTATTTTTATTTCAGTAACTAATTACGGCAACTCTCTCTTTAAAATTGGTTATTTTCCAGATATTTTCTAGTAATTTTTTCTCGAATTTCATTTACAAAAAAAAAAAAAAAAAAAAAAAANCTTATCATTTAAAAAAAAAAAATAAAAAAAAAAAAAAAAATTTAAATTTTTCTAACTTTCAGTGACAAAAGCAAATTCCTAAACAATGTCATGTTTCTCCTCACTCCATGGATAGCATTTTTATTTATTAGGAATTAAAAATTTTACTGAAAAAAAAGCGAAATACATAGATGTAAAAATTATTTGTTTATTTCATTTAATTAAAATTATTTTTATTCCTGTCTTTGTGAGACCCGTATTTGACCGCACGAAATCTCAGCAAATAAAAAATAACGATGCAATTAAAAAAAAAACAAAAAAAAAACGAACAAAAACAAAAATACAAAATTTTAAAGATGTCGCTCTCTATCTGTCATCTAACCGGCGAAACCGCTATGTATACCACCTGCGACCTTTTGATACCCTTTTTTTTAATGTAGAGGGCGCTTCGAAAGATGAATAGAAAGGTTTGAACTGTGCAGCAAAAGGAAGAAAAAAAAAGTCTCTTTAGTTCAATTGAAATAATTAGCATCCACTTCTAACGAGGATTTGTGACGACAAATTGTCACAGGATATCGTTCTGGAATGACAGGTGGTCGCCGAGCGACACGTTCCAGGGAAAAAAAAAAAGAAAAAAAAGGGTTTTTTCACGCTTTGAATGCGGAATACAAAGCACAGGTAACAATCCGTATAGAAGGTGCCCCACATGAAGATGCAATTTTAATTACACAGAAGACATTCACAGAATAGCATCGTCACCCCCAAACGAACAGCTGCTGCTAATCGGCTGTTGTTTCCAAATCTCAGAAATAGTTAACAGCTCAATGCATAGATAATAAAAAGTAAGGTTTATGTAAATATAGGTAAAAGGAAGAGTGGACATGTACTTTTTTATTTTATGTTATAACCGTCGTTGAACAGTCGAGGTTTACGATTATCTTTGCCCAACTGCGTAGCCTTGTCATTTTGAACCCTACCCAGAAGACAAGGGAACTTCTGGATTAAGTATGGGGAGAAATTTTGCCTTCGTGGAGGACTTTTTGACGGAACTATGCCGCATTAGTGTTCCATGGAGAGGAAAACCTCGAAAACGGCCAAGGTTAGCCTAACGGCAAGGGGACTCTAGGCTGGGATTCGAACCCGGCTTACCTCATTGGAAGACGAACGCTCTGTCCCCTGAGCTACCACGGCTCTGACCTGTACCTTGGACCAAAGAAAATATTTTCACCCCTAGCAGATAATTTGTACATTTGGTATACATAGTTGATACCTGTAATGAGGGATACTCTCACTCAGTTTCTCAGACACAGTCTAGAAAACTTTTTTTTATTTTTTATTTCCTAGCGATTGAATGATTTTTTTCCCCGTCAGCTTGATTTGAAAATAAAACCCTATAAAAATTTCATTTAGAAACAGAACAAAGGTACATAAGTACCAACATGTCATTTTTTAAGGAAACATTCCAATTATTTTTTTTTAATTTATATTTTTGTTGAGCTTAAAAAAATTAAAAAAAAGTGTATGCATTTGTATAATGAAGTGGTTCAAGGTACGTGCAAGTTAGCATAAATACATTTCCTTGTGAACAATACAGCATAAATACCAATATGTTATTTTCTAAAAGTAACATACCAATTTTTTGAAGAAATATTTTTTATATTTATTGAGTTCAAAAAAATCAAACAAAGAGTATACGTGCTGTTTTGTGGTGCGGTTCAAGGTATCATGAACAAGTCTAGTTAGCATTAATATATTTCTTTATGAGTTTAAAAAAAAATTCAGAATTTATAATCTTTTTTGTTTGTTTTTAGTTTAAGTTACAAATTAACGAAATATTTCACTAAACTATCCTTAATAACTATCTCATACAAACTACAGAAACACATCTTTTAATAACAAGAAAATTGCAAATTTAATCAACTAACAAGTTTAGAATAAAAGAACTCAATATTCAATCGTATGAAGTAGTTCAAGATACTAGACCAAGTTGTACATTAAAAATTATATTAATTGACTGAAGCATTTCTAAGTTGTTTGAATTGGTACATTTTGCATAAAATAAATAAATAGAATTAAGTTGAATCAAATTTTTAAAACTAACATAATTTTGATTAAACTAACATAATTTGGATTAACTAATAGTTAAAGACAAATTCAATAAGTCATTGTATATTTGATAATTAAATCGTGTATGGTGATTAAAGCACAACATAAGAGGTTAACAATCTGTTACATGGGGACCTATGCAACTTTTGCCCGATGTACGAACGTCTCATCTCCAAAAGATTATATCATCAGCATAAGAAATTCCATAACTGTTTTTAAAACTAATTTCAATAAACTCTGAACAATCATTGTAATTGAAATATTAAAATCATAACATTTAGGAGCAGAAATTTAAGGTCAAAGGTATAAATCTTCCAAGATAAGTTTGCCTTTTTTTTTAATTATTATTATTTATTTTTTTTTGAAAAAAAATTTCTTAACTGAAGCATGTTCGACATAAGATAGTCAAATTATTGTTTGTCAAAAGAGAAGGATTAAAATCTGCTACAAATTCATTTAAGTAAAAAGGACTAAGTATACTAAATTTCAAATGCTTTTTTTTTAGTTCAAAAGTATCATACAAACATATAATCATTAATTCTGAATTCAAATTGATAATAAATAAATAATCTCATGAAAGTGAAGCGATAAAAAAAGAGTACTTAATTGAAAAAAATAATAAAACTTTATTGGTTTTAAAAATATGCAGATGAAAATAATAGTCAACATGTTTCAAGAGGTCAAAGAATAAGCGCCCATTCTCAAGACTTGCCAGATGTGAATGAGAAGAAACAAAAGTGATTTGAAATATATAACGTAAACTTGCCAACAAAATATGGAAAATAAAGGTGAGAGACAAAACTAGAAAAACCGCAGTAGCCAAGAGTGAAAGAAAAATAAAGATGAAAAAATAGAGCAAGGAAAACCAACGTTAGCAAGTTATCGATTATAGACAAGTTATACTCTTTAATATACCATTATATAAAGTGTATAGTTGGCATTTAGCGAGCATTTTTTCTTAAGACATATCGATCCTGATACAAATAAATTAGTATTGTTTTTATACACGTACAGCAGATTTTCTAAGAGATAATAGTTAAAAGCCAATTATGTTATTCCTTATAAAGCAAATTTTTTTTTAAATATCAATAAACTAACAATACTTTTCCACATAAAGTATATTTTCTTAGAAATGTGACAATAGCAATGCATAATGAACACAATAGAATAATTTTTCTTTAAAATTTTTGCCATGAGCAACAAACAATACATAAGTAAAAACATTATCTCACCAAAGCACGCTTCGCTCGTTCTATAATTTTCTTCGAAATATAATAACCTGGAAAAAAAATAATAATAAATAAACATACATTCAAATTATAATTCATATCCTATATCTTTAAAAACCTAAGAACAACTAAAGGCGCAAAAATGAATATTAAAATAAGAACATTGCAAACATGAGAATAATATTAAATACAACAATACAAAGTCTGTACATTTAATAATCATTTATGTCTATGATAAATAATCGTTTTTACATGATTTTTCGCAAGAAAGACATATTCAGAATTCATTTCAAAAATCCCTTGTTTGAATACTTCCATTAGTTCATAATAAATGTGAAATATTAAATTTGAATTAAGAATATATAAAAATTAAAAACGTTTAAATAATTTAGAGATAAAAGCAAGATTGAGAGAATTGTTCGCACTGAGAAAAAAAAGTATGGTCAAAACTAACAGAATATGGTAAAATGTATCGTGTTTCTGACTCTATGGGAACACCAAAATGCTCGTTGATTTTTACCGAAAACGCTTTGGTAATGATTTTGGTAAAATTAAAATATTTCATAATATTTGGTAAATGTGGTAAAGTTTGGATATTTTATCATGCTATTTTAGAGCATGGCCAAAAAAACCATTTATTGGGTTAAATTTTGGAAAACCAGAATTTCCGGTACACCGTTACCATATGGACGAAAAAGTTACGAAATGAATGGTTTACATACAGTATATTTTAATTCGTAATAACAAAAGCTTTCTTTTTTTTTAATTTTTGAAAGAAAAAAAAACATAAATGTTATCACTGTGCAATACGGTAATTTTACATTCATTTTCTCCGAGCTTATTATCCTCAATAAAGAAAAGAAAAAAAGAAATTCTTAAACGAGAACTCGCATTTTGTCCAGAAGAAACATATTTTTACCAGGACAGTGGAGAAAACTGGTCAAAAAAGAAAATATTTGGTCGAAATGGAGGAAATGACGAGGGCGGAGGATTGTTTTATAGGTAATACAAAGATCACTTAAATTTAAACCCTAAATTTAATTTAGTGAACCTTGCTCTTAAAAAAATTCAAAAGTCTTGGAAAGACAAATTATATCCAGTTTCTAAATGACCCAGGTTTAAAATGATGGTTGAGTTTAGACTGGCCAAGACTGTCTCCCGAAACACTTGCACCGTTTCAGTATAGTTTCAAGTCATATCTGCAATCTCTACAATCTAGGAGGGGTCATGGATAAAGACCATGACATTCTGGCCATTTAATTACTTGCCAAAAGTTCTCATGTGGACCGATACTGGGGAGCCAGGAATCTATACACCATCTCTACAGCTGCTTCGTTTGTTTTCTATGTTTTTTTTTTTCTCTTCATGTTTGTTCTCCATATAATTCTTTTGTATTTACTGATGTAGTTGTGTTTTGAACTTGCCATTGGAAATAAAAAATTATTATAGTACCAGAACGTTAAACGTTTTTTATGGATACATTAAAAATAATAATAACCATTTTTATATTCTTTGATTAAAAATTTCAGTCGCTCCAAATATATGTAAATAGGGAAAAACGATTGACAAGTTTCAAGCGCTCAAACATAAGCGTTCATTTTCAAGAATTGTCAGACGTAAAAGAGAAGAAACCAAAGTAATTTGAAAAAGTCGAAAGTAATAATAATAAAAAAAAAAAATAGATGAAAAACAACACCGCAGTGGCTAAGAGGCACAAATCAGGGTAAAATGCATTTCCAAGAGCTAGGGAGAGGTGATGAGGAACTAATGTCGTTAACAAGAGAATCAGTTCATTATGAATAAAACCAAAACTTTTAAGATGCAAGATAACAAGATTTTTAAATATAAGATTTTTATTTAACATTTTCATATTTACTTACTTATAGAATTTTATATTAATATATTATTTGAGAGTCGGTTTGAATATTCATACATTTAACGGTATTTAATTATAAAAATTAGTTTGCTATTTGTAATGGTAAATTCGTAATGTCATTTATAGTAGTATATGATATTACGAATATGTTTAGTACGTTATTCGTTAATTTTATTGTAATTTTATGTTATTGGTTAATTTAATTTGATTATGAAATTTTAAGTTCTTCAATTAATAATAAAATTAGGTTTTACTATACTCTTTCACGTGAAATATAGAAAAAAATAAAAGTTAAAAAAAATCTAATATTATTATTTCTTAAGAAATTTATTAAATCAAACTTTTTTTCCCAAGTATTGCCTTTCAGTTTTCATTTTTTTTATAAATGAATTATTAAAAAATCATAGAAATGAATATTATTATTTAAACTGGATTACAATCGTAAACTGTTAAAAAAAATTGCTTTAATATTCGATATTTCATTTTAAAAACTTTTTTTTAATTTCTTCCATTAGGCTTAGAAGAAACCTATTTCGTCCGGATCGGTTTTTTACCACTGTGGATAAATATTCCTGTTTTAAACACAATATAAAATAAAATTGCCTTCAACTACAAGAACGTTATTCAAAATATGAAACATTTCATTTCAAAACGAGGCAGAGGAGTAACTCCGCGAGTAACAAAAAAAAAGAAAGAAATAAAATCCGTCACAGTCATAAAAATTTGTTACTCTTTACCGTAACTAATACTTTAGAAAGATTCCAGAATAGAGGGTAATTTTCTCATCGCTTGCAGCTTCCCTTGTCTCCGAACAATAGTCAGAGATATTCAGGTTGAAATCATTATTGACAAGCATTAGGGGGCCATAATGTCCCTTATTTACCATGGATGTCCCATAAATTCGGACACAGAAGACATTTTTCAAAGCAAACAGAGAGAGATAAAGAAAATCTTCCCACACTACTGATAGCGCCATGCTGGGCGTGTACCTTAATATAGCCAGAAGTAAAGGAAAATATATTTTACTGCTATGTCTTGGTCGTTTGAGAAGAACAATAATGATTGGTTATGTGCTATAAAATAAAATCATTAAAATTGATGCTAAATTTGTACATGTATTAACACAAAATTGAAATAGGGAAAAATATTAAACTCAGTAATATTTTAAATTCACTGAGGGAAATAAAATTATTTCGTTACTCTTACAAGCATTGAATGTTACTGATTAATTGGGTTATTTTTTGTATCTGTTACCGTTAAAGTATGAAATCCGTTATTTTATAGAATACCTAGTTGTTCCATGAAATAACTGATCGTGTCCGTTAAAGTGTAAAACTCTCTTGTATTTCACGGTTTAACTAGTTATTCCAAAGAATAACGATCTGCAGCCCGTTAAAGTGTAAAATAATCTATATCATAATCATATATCTCGCACTACAAATACATTTACCTTCCACCCCTAGTGCATTTATGAACTATTCAACAACAAAAATTTTTGTTTTAGAAATAATGTACTTTGTAATTCCAAGTGTCATTTTAGTAATCCTTGTTGTAACAAATGATTTTCTGGTACGTTTCCATAAATACCATTTATACGCTGCATAAATTAGATAAATTGCTTCTTTTTCATTTTAATTATCTATGATTAGTTTATTTATAGAATACCTAGTTATTTCATTTTAGATCAATTGTTTAATTTACACTTTAACTGTCTCTTATTAGTTAATTTATAGAATACGTAGTTATTTCATAGAATAACTAGTTAAAGTGTCAAATTAATAACATATTACACACTTTAACGGACACGATCAGTTATTTCATGGAATAACTAGGTATTCTATGAAATAACTGCATTATATACTTTAAGGGTAACATATCCAATAGTAAATGATATTTACTATAGTATATAATATTTAAAATATATAGTAAGTGATAGTATAGTGATTACTATAGTAAATGATATTTTTTTTAAAAAAAAGAGCTTTTTTTTTGCCGTCTGTGCTTTAGTTATACTTCATATTTTATTTTATAACAGGCGTTGAACAACAGACTTCATTCAGAGTTTACGACTATCAATGTTGTAATTTTGAACCCAACCCAGAAGACAAGAGAACACCCGGATTAAGTATTGGGTCAAACTAGTTTTCACGGAGGACTTAACTGGATTTACGTTACAAGGAGAGGAAAACCACTTAAACCTAGTTTTGTTTCTCACCTTTATTTTTCTATTTTTCGTCGTCAACTTTACGTTTTATATTTCAAATCACTTTTGTTTCTTCTCATTCAAGTCTGGTAAGACTTGAAAATGGGGACCAGTTTTTGAGCCGACTGTTATTTCCAATTTTTGAATCGAATGTCGTTCTTAATCAAGTAATAATCACATTTCAGTTCATTTTAAAATAATGTACTTTCCTTTTAATGTACTAACCCTCATCTGTATAGTTTAACATCTGTAAAGTTTAATTCATACATCACACTGTTGTATCTAAACAGGAACTTTAAAGTAAAAATATTTAAATTGTCAAGTTTTATTTTATTAACATGCTTAATGTCGTCATATTTTTTCTCTTTATTTTTTTAAAAAAAAGAAAGAAAAGAAAATTTGATCTATGAAACATTTTATTGGAGTGATCTGAAGTTTAAAAGTAAATCATAGATAAATTTATCAAATTCAATTTTTCACAGAGAATATTATAAGTCAAAGCTCTTCCAGAAAAAAAAAATGAACGAAGCCGTTATTCGTACTCAGATGTCGATGGGATAGAGACAGAGGAAAAAAATAATAAAAATGCTTTTAATTTAATTATTTTTATTTAATTTTTACAAATAAACTGTCAGTGGATAATTACTTTATTTGGCAGCATCGTTCAAAGCATGGAAAATATAAAACCTTTTTCCAATTAGAATTTGAGAAAAAAGCGAGAGGTAATTTAAATTCTCTGTTCAATTTTTGATGACAAAACTATACCAGTACAATCTTGTATTGAGCAGCTTTTGAAAAGTAGTTAAACAGTGTAAATTTGTCTATTTTTAGATTATCGATAAATATTTTTGTTTTTGTGCGATTTTCGCTAAAATATATTTTTTTAGCAACAATACAATCAGTTTTCATCAGTTTAAAATAAAATATAATTAAACTTTAAAAGAATCGAAAAACAGGTGAATGCACAGTTT